ATTCGATTTTCTATTGATCGATAACGCTTGTACCAATGCTGATTCAGATCAAGAACGCATATAGGCAGTTCTAGCTTGAGCAAACTGATCCAGTTTTAGGTTGCCTTGTTGCCATTTTACAAAGTGTGGCGATTTTACGTCGCGGAAAACTGTATTAATTATTTCAAAATCATATTTAGCAAACAGATCGGCATCGACACATTCCGCGTACGAACGACAATGCGGTGGAATGGTATAATCAAGTAATTCTTGAAGCGTGAAAAATATTTGAGCGCATTTGTACAAAAGACTGATGGCATTGAAATGACCAGCTGATCCATCACCGTTGACGCAAAGAAAAACGAGGATGAGAATACCACTCGATTTGATTTGATTTCCAGTATATAATGAATGACAGTGATCTGATAAATAACAAGGTTTCCGAGAACGCCAATGGAGAGCTATTGACGAATATCTAATTAAGACAGAATTTGAGGGAAGACATTGTTTGTAGAAGGACTTTCCACTGGCTACACCGTAATATGAATTGTCTCTGATAAGAATATCGAAAAGAGAATTCCAGTGATTTGCAGACAAATCATTGTGGACAACAAGTATTGCTTGATTGTTTCCAATTTTTTCCTCCTATTGAGAATATTCAATATTTTTTTGTATGGCATAGAGAGCATTTTGACCATGGGAAGAACAGTAATTGGCAATAATAATAGGCACATGAGATGATAGAATGTTAAGCGCCTGAATTGCCCGATGAATATGTGGCATAGAAGCCTCGATTGCAGCCAACTGAGCTAGCAAATTGTCATTGTAACTATCAGCCATGCCAAGAGTAGATCCAGTGATCCTCTTCATTACTCCATATTCCAAATCTATTTTTTATGAAGCATGATGAGAACAATGTTATGATGTGTCGACAGAGCGAATGTGTGTTTATTAAGTTACTTGGTTGAAATCTTTATCTCTGTGTGTCCATAAAGAAAGAGTAAGAGCAAAAAAAACCTTTGGTGCGTAATAGTTATAAGAGGTCTCATGATGAGTCCTCAATCCACATCGTTCTATCTTTTGTTAGTAACAATACTCTGGGGAAACTAATCATCGAGTCGAAGACAAAGAAAAGAAAAATACTGATATGAACAAACCAGCTTCGAACTCTCAAGAATGAAGGGAAGATAGTTTCTTCGCTAAAAATGCATAAAAATAGTAAAACTCTTCAAATGAGAAAAAAAGACTGTCTTTCAGAAGATATGAACTTTAGTAGTTAAAGCAACAGAAACATCATATCGACATGATGACTTATTAAATATAGTTCAACAAGATAAAAAGACCGAATTAAAATTAAAAAATAAAATAGTTACATACATCAACACTTATTATCAACACACAAACGACAAAATCCAGCTTTACATTTACAATTTATCTTCATTCTTTATCAGCTCCTCATTTTTATATGTATCTTGTCACGGCATACACTTATCTACATCGGCTACTCATTTTTAGTTTATCTTCTCTCTTCTCGACCCAACACTGTTTTTCTTTCGACTTTCCATACATATGTTTCTACGTTGTCGGTAGCCCTTTCGATTTCGCACTCTAGGACTAAGTCACTTTTTTCTCGAGATACTTTGAAAAATGCATCATAGAAGATACTACTGTAGTTCTATGCTAGTTTAAGACTCATTTTGAAAGTCTCTCGAGAAAGCTGTGAGGGAACCGAAAACTTTTTTATGGATTCTGAATAAGAAAAATTAGTTGTATTTTCTGTACAATTTTAATCCACTCAATAGGTTTCATTGAATTTAGTCAATTTTCTCAGGAAACGTACTACATTAATTGTTCACATTTTTTTCGATTTTTCGAGACTTATGACTGAAAAATAGTTAAGGCTAATCTTTTTTTTAACAGTAATATAACATATACTTAAAGCAATCTAGAAGTGGTGGCAGTAACACTTTAATACCGTATAATAAGCTTTAAGACATTTTCTTTTTATATGGAGAAATAGTACTAGCAATGCTCTATTTTTCTATGGTATTTGATCATGCTTCAAACAATATCACAAGAATAAAATTTCGATAAGAGCTGTTTTTCTATGTTATGTGACGTTTATACTAATGCCTATTAAAAAGAAAAGTTGAATGTATACTTTTTGAACAACTTTCAATAGAAACAAGATAGAGAGCTTATGTCTCTTTGATAGATATGTTGTGAAAAGAACATAAGTTATATTTCTTATATATTTTTAAATGAAAATGAGATGAGAAAAGATAGAGAAACACTAATGCAATATATCCGCCTGGCAAAAAATAGTTGCACACAGTATTTTTAACAAATCATTACTATAAGTTAACTTTTTGAGAAAAATAATTATATATTCAGATAGCCCGCGAAATTCTCTACAACTCTATTTATAAACATTTTGAATTGCACTTATCTGCTAAAAATAAATTTATGCACAATAAAGGCACCCTCATGTTCAGATTTCCCGGAGGGTGTTTTTTGCTCCTTTTTCGTTTATATTTTTGAGTTTATTTTGAATATAGGAACAAGTTATTATAAAAGTAAGTATATATTCTGAAAGCGCATGAAGTTCTCTATCACCTTGTACTTCTGTCAGTCTTGGCTTGCAGATATTTGATGATAAATAATTCGAGTATTTTTAATTTATCCTAATTGTGAGGCTCACACTCTCGGTTACTTCACATGAACTGATACAGCATCCCATGAATGATGATCCAGTAGCCGAATAAGATGTATGGGTAATTGTCCACTTCTTAGCCGTGATCTTAATGTTACTACGAATGGTTGGTCTATGATAAACCACTTTGCACAGAAATACGGTCTAAATTTTCAATAATACCTCTCCGGGAACGCGATGAGTTGATGCATTAAAAATACTCGAAGTATTTATCCTGCAAGCCAAGACTGATAGAAGTACAAGGTGATAGAGAACTTCATGCGCGTTCAGAATATATACTTACTTTTATAATAACTTGTTCCTATATTCAAAATAAACTTAAAAATATAAACGAAAAAGGAGCAAAAATGCATTTCCGAGAAATCTGAACATGAGGGTGCCTTTATTGTGCATAAATTTATTTTTAGAAGATAAGTGCAATTCAAAATGTTTATAAATAGAGTTGTAGAAAATTCCACGGGCTATCTGAATATATAATTATTTTTCTCAAAAAGTTAACTTATAGTAATGATTTGTTAAAAATACTATGTGCCGAACTATTTTTTGCCAGGCGGATATATGCAATTTTTGTGTAAGACTGTCAAAAACATCTAGAATGACAGTCGATTATAATTAATTATCGTTTTACAAGATGTCTTTGAGCGAGTTCATGAAAGTTGAAGTTAAAATCTTTTTTTATGAATTCGCAAAATCGAATTAGTTGTTTTCCAAAAGATATTTTTGATTCATATGTATAAAAATTGCAAATTTATGCTATTGAATGTTTTTCTGTTTTTTCTAATCTCATATCATTTATAAATATATGACAAATATAAATTCTGTTCTTTTCACAATGCATCAGTTGAAGAGAAATAAAGATTTCTTTAACGAATACGTTTTTTTCTTTTGTGTATTAAACTGAATATTTATTGTCTGATGCTGCCGGAAGCTTTCTAAAAAAAGGAAAATCGGCTGTAAAGTGCGCAAAGTTTCGAAAATAGGATCATTTGACAATTTATTTTAATGACTTCTTTTTAATGTAATAATCGTCTTTTACCTTCTAAATCGTACTAAAAGTATCAAGTATGAGCGCTGATAAGTTTTGAATTTAATTACAAAAATCCTCTAATGTTTTAATATTCTACATCAAGAGATGCTATTACATGAAAAAATAAAATACCTACGCACATGTTCTTATTTAGGATGATCATTGTTTTTGTTTTAGAATAAAAAGGAAAACTTAATTCATAAATATATAAATCAACTGATCAAATGGAGACAATATTGAATAGGAATGAAGTGTTTAGATATACAACACACTCATTGCTAGATGATCAATATCAACAAATCAAATAAATTCTCTTTTGATAAAATATATGTAATCAACACAACTGACGCAGTCACAAAGATGCACCGCTCTGTTTAATCACGTATTTATAATTTATCAAGCTTTAATATGTTACAACTAATTCAGAACAATGAAAGCAAAAATAATACGAGAATATATAGTGAGCGTGACATACAAAAAGAAAACAAATACGAGGACGACAGTGCAAAAATAGTGTTTTCTTATGTATTTGGCAATCATCATTGATCAAAATAATCTAATTTGTATGCAGACAACTGAAACCTGTATAAACTTATTGAAAGATTTTTTTAATCAACTATTACACTATGAATAAGGAGCTAAGATCAAATTGAAATATCATAAGAACATGATTCATTCTCAGAACAGATATTCAGCATAACGTTCAACCTACGTCTCAGCTATACAATAGACACCATATTTCAAATATATTCATAGACATTTAACTATCAATAAACTAGTAAAAACATCATATAATATGTTAACCTTTGTTTTCAACAACGTATTCACTCGATACAAAAGACAAATAGATCTTTCACATTAAATGTCACTTTTATATTAGCAAGAACAAATTTGTTTTTTTTTAAATACAACTTCATTATAAGAATGTTTTATCACAGATTACTAAAATAAGGACTCTATATGTTCTTTTTTTCTACTTCTTTTCTTCAATTATAAAGCAGTCAATGTAAATTGATTTCTATATATAATATAGACTTCAATATTATTTCTGAGCTTATCAAATCATGTTATAGGATTAAAAAAAATAATTTTTGAGATTTGGCATTATAATTGAATTTGATTTTGATCCATCTATAAATATATACATCGAGAAAAGTCTTTGCTCACTCTAGTGAAATATTTTAACTTCAAGTATATAAAGATTTTATGTTCTATTGTGTTTCATAATTCAATCAATAAATTTTTACTATTATATTTTACATTACAAAAGTAATATAGACAATGAATTTTTCCCTCATTGCTTATGGTACGAATTTGGTACTTTTATTTTTTGGAACTATTTTTCATATAGTTTTTTTAACACTCATTTGTATCAAAATTCGTCCATTGGCATCGAATGTTTTATTAATTTTAATAAGTAATAGTTATTTGGCATTGATTTTATCATCTGCTACTTTATTTGAAGCATCTTTAACTTCGTTTTTGGGTAATCTAAATTCTTGGACATTGTTTGGAATTTCTTTATGTAGAACAAGAGCTTATCTAATAGTTGTTGGTCAATCCGCTATATCATATTCATTACTTCTTCAAGCCTTCTTTCGATTGTTTAGAATCATTTTCTTTCAACGAAGAGCACTTCGATCATTTCGAGTTTTTTCTATTCTTGTTATTCTTCAATGGCTCTTTGTTTTTCTTATTAATCTTCTGTATATTTATTTAAATAAGTTTGAATATATACCTAGTGAATATCAATGTGAAATTCCCATAAATAATTATAGTGGTGCAGCAATGATGACAACGTTAACACATATCTTACCAATAAATACAATATTTTTTATTTATTTCTATATTATGCGATATATTCGTCGAACAACAAACACGATACAAACTCGGCAAAACATAAATAAACGAGATATGATTGTTTTCAAACGAATTATTATTTTATTAATCGTTCTACAGGTATTATCTATACCTCTTTTTGTAGTTTGGATACTCCACGTCATCACTGGTTATACAACATCATGGAACTATTATTTCCTAGCACTTGTTTCATCAATTGGTCAATTAGTTATGTCTCTTATTCTTGCTTCAACGACATCACAAATTCGAGAAAAATTGAAATGGAGACCCAGCCAAATACATCCGAACATTGAAATACGGGTTCAATATCGCAATACACCAGAGTCTGATCATCACGATCTACAGGAAAAAATTTAAGTTGAAGAATATGTTTTTGATAAAAAAATAAGTATTTATCTGTTTCATAAATTAAAACAATCCATATTCAAAACAGAGATGCATGTAAAACCTTAATCAAACTAAAAAATAATAAGAATACTTTTGAAAATTATTATGTCAAAGTTTATATTCTACGTCAATATATTTGACGAGATAAAATTGTATTATGCTTTGCGTATTTTTTGTTTTATTCTATCAACGTTGTAACGTCGTTATACATTGTTTATGTTCTTTCACGTATTTTCTCGTTTCATGCTTTAACAATAAATCAGAATGTATTTTATGAAGACAAAAACTTGACTAACGATTCATTGGGCTACGTAATATTTAGAATGACGTTGTTTGCCTAGACCGAATAAAAATACTTTGGAGTGATACAAACGCTTTGTTTAATGATTCAAAAGTAATACGACAAGAATGACAGCTATGCTTTGTGTCTTTAGAAATTTCAATCTCTCTTGTTACCATATTGAGACGTTGTGTTGCTGTTATAAATGATATAGCGTTTGAAAAGATATTGAATACATATGTATGTTGCAAGTGTAGACATTGATTTTAAGTCTTTTTTATCTTCAGTATATGAAAAATTCTCTAATTTATAGATGCCAACGGTAATGAATATGTTGAATTTAGAGCAATCTGTTTCCAGTAGAGCCGCTATGGCTGAATGGTTAAGATGTTCGACACATATCCACAAGATAGTGTGTTCGAACCTCGGCGCCATCAGACATAGAATGACCTTGGACAAGTTACTAACGGCTGTTTGTCTCGGACTACCCATCCGATAGCACGCTGACTAGGTGTGACATACATAAAAAGCTCTTGTGGCTAGTATGTGGTCAGTTAGTATGCATGGGGAGCTTAAGTAATTTAGCAAGAGGAACTCTGAGTCAGACCGGCCTTCTGTGCAGAGCTGCAGCTAGTAATAGCTGTAGGAAAAACATCGGGCTTTCGAAGCTGTCCTTTGACAGCACTCCATGCTGAAAGGTAGCCGAAAGGCAAGGATATTCTTCTTCTTTTTCTTCTTCTGTTGTCAGTACACTGGAAAGAAAGCTGCCGTACGGAACCTTTTTCGAAACGAACTTGAAACCTTGAAAAAGGTTTCGTAATAACCTAAGACACCTTCAAACTGATTATTAACAGTTCAGGAAACTTTTTCAAAGGTTTCATGGATTTCCTATAAAATCTCCAAAAGGTTTAAAATTCGTTTCAGTTCTCGAAACCTTTTTTAGGTCCACGAAATTCTTTGGGTCGGTAATCATACCATTTTTCGCCAGTGTACGTAATAAAAAAAAATTTCGATTGTTAAATCGACTAACTGTTTTCGTTAATTGTATTATGATGATCATCATTGATAAGGCAATGGATAGATGTTGTTAGATGGCATATACGCTGGATCGTATTCTCGACCTTCACGAAACCACTCATATCATTTTTCAACTGTTGTGAGAGGTGAAGCCTGGCTGCCAAATATACAGTCTAGTACAGTGCGGACTTAAAGGCAGCCCTAGTAAAGGTACTCATATGGTAGTACTCAAAAAACACTCACTAGAAAGTATCACGAGTACTCATGCTAGGATCTGAGTATTTGAGTACGACTATCGAAGTAAAGATGTTACATTGTTTTTATTTTTTTATAGAGTACAGAAATACACTTTTTATCTTTAGAAAGCAACACAACGCTTAAAATACGTATTAAAGACAGTATAAAATCATGAAAGACAAGTGATTGCTAAATTATTTTCGAAATTAAGACATGCGATGACAATATACACAAATACACCGAAAATTACGAAAAACAAACAAACAAATATATTAAACTCATAGCTAGATTTCATTTACGAGGGAACATTCCCAGGTGTTGGAGAGATTTTTAGTCAAGACTTTGCGCATCTTGTAGGCCTTGATGAATTATGTCTACCGTAAAAAAAAGTTCGTGCCTCCAGCTTGTTCCTAGTGAGATATCGATGTTTTAGTGAATTTTTCCTATAAGACCCCACATTTGCAGCAAGGCCATATTTTTTAATTTTGATCTGAAACTTTGCCTACATAAACACCTCAGCTAGACTAGTTTGCATAAAAGATTTCAAAACTTTTGAACAAAGTCTCTCCGAGATATGAAGCTTTCCAAAAATGCATGCTTTATACGCTATCTATGGAAAACGGCTTATACGTTGAAAGCTGCATATCGCGAAGAGACTTTGTCCAAAAGTTCTGAAATGTTTTATGCAAACTAGTCTAGCTGAGGTGTTCAAAAAAAAAAATTACACTATTTCAAATATCACTTAAAAGGAAAAAAGAAAACGCTAGAATTTCAAATTCATCACCTATTTCTACTATTATCATAGTGTATTAAATGAATACACCACATTCGATGACATTTTATGCTTTGTTTCGTTAACTATACGGAACATTAAATAAACAAAGGTATCTTATTGTCATTATTTTATTATTGATTTTGAACATCTGAAAAGCATAGGAGTTATGATTTCGAAGTTGTTCAAATTAACGTAAGAGTAAAAGAAAAACAAATTATTAATTAAATTTATCGCTACTAATAGATAGTGGAATAACTGATTACAAAAAAATCAACTGTACATTAAGAACAACATGTCAACGATAAGCACCAAATGATATTGACTGAGATTAGTGTGATTGAACTCTCAGTATTTCCTGATGCTAATCTACAACCGTTAGATTAGTCAAATCTTTGTTAATTATTTATAGAAATTACTGAAAATAATTAGTCTGGGCAAACCTTGATTTAAACATTGCAATAAACGTTATTAGAATATTTTAAACGATCTTTTTCAACATATGACAGCATTGGTGAATGAATCTAGATTTTTACTAAAATAATATCACGATAAAGTTTCATTGAGTCGTATCATGAAAAACAGAAAATAGTAAGCTATCGGTTTGTTAGTATGTAACAGATGAAGTCCGATAAGGCTTTTAGTCTTTGATTTTGTGAAACACGACCTACAAGAGGGTTAAAGCATAAAGATAGAAATCTGGATCCCCTCCACGACCCCATATAGACGTGGCAGACATCTAAACAACGAGTCATCAAATATCACAATTTCTCTGTGAATAAAAAAAGCTACTACATTTTATTTTCCATTTTAATCTCACACAGAGTGCACTAACAGCTTCTTTATTTAATCAATTATTACAAATAAAATTTATCATTAGAGCCAATTTTGCGTAGGACATCTAGAGAAAAGAGCTTCGCCGGAGATGTTTTGTATGAATACAATTACTGATTATTATTTATTTTCAAAGTTTCTTGAAATGAACGAATGAATAACCTTTATAAAAGAGAAGAAAACAAGTATAGCGTCTAATCTTTATTTGCTCTTTCAGTAAATTATTAGTTGGGTACTTCTTTCTTGCTAATTATAGTAGGAAAAAGATAGTGGCAGAGTGAGAACATTTGGTCCCGGACTCGAATCCAGACTCAGTCGAGTTCGAGTCCAAAAATTCTGGATCCGACAGACACTAGTCGTGTTGTCAAGAATGTGCAATGCCAATAAACTAGTTGCACTGTTCACTACATTTTACAAAACAAGAGATCAACTAGTGTTCTCAGTAATAACACTTACGCAATATTCAATTTTATTTAGATCATTTCGAATATCTACGATGCATTTGATATTGATGATTTATATTATTTAACATATTTCATTAATACTACCATTTATAAAAATGAGTTTAATATTGATTTTAAACAATATGTTTTAAAATATTTGTATCGTTAAGTTGTATTATTTCTGTGACAGTTCTCCTATTAATTTTTTATTTTTCTTCGTTCATCAAGATCAAATCTATCATTTCTTTTGACTTGTAATACTTAACAATCATTATATTTTGTTTTACGTTGTTCAATGTAGCCGGTCATAGTTTTTATGGTTATTTTTATCCATCAGTTTTATTTGTAGGTCGTTGGTATGAAAGTTTTGGTTATTTTCCTCATGTTTGTTTCTGTGCTTTTTATTATTCATTTGTTCTTCAAGCTATTTTTCGATTCTTTCGAATAATTTTTTATAAAAAGAAACTATTACAAACATTTGGTATATTTATTATTGTAATTATTATTCAATGGTTATTGTCATTTGTTTTTATTCTGCCCGATTTAATATTACATGACTTTTGAATATCTACCAAATGAATATAACTGTTGGATTTCGTTTGAAAATATTCATAGATTATTATTAGTAAAATTTATCTATGGAAGTCCTTTCTTGATTGTCTGCCTAATATATAGCTTTATTTTTAAAGCAGTCATATCATTAATTGATTTTCGACAGCATACATCAATCAGTTATGTGAAACTGACAATGTATTCTATTTAACGCAAAGCATTCCACATAGGTGATTATTTTCGAATATGT